ATATTACACTATTTACGTAAGTTTATGGCGGGCCCCATAATATTATGTAAATTTACGGCGGGAAAAGTTTCCTGATGGCCATAGATGTTTATATTTGTACTCAGTTTTTTTTTGCATTCTAATTATTTGACCTATGTGCTTTATACAATAAGATTAAGGATTTTATTCAAGATGAAAATATAAAAAAGCCATTACAATGAAATTTTTAATCTGTTAAAAGATATTTATGATGAAGAGGGAGAGGTTGTGAATAATGAAGAGAGAGACATGAATAGTGAAGAAATAGAAGTAAATGACGTAGAAAAAGTTGAAAATTGATGATGTAGAAGAAGTGGAAGTGAGTGATGTAGAAGAAGTGGGTGATGAAGAGGAGAATCGTAGAGAAGTGATTGTGGTGGTCAGTCAAATGCAAATTGAGGATAGAGCAGTTGTACTCTTAACAAATAATGAAAATTATCAAACAAATGAAACTGATGAGGAAGAACTGAGCTTTATAGAAGATGGAACCCCACTCAGGGTTGGCAAATTGACTGGTCCATTGCCATTAATAAAATACTAAATATGGTTAAATTGTTACACTAATGGACCACCAATGGACCATCAATGGACTGCACATTTGCCAACCCTGAACTCCACTACATATAGTATCAGGAGCAAGAATCAAATGGTCAGATCAAGAAGTAGCAATATTGTTAAAATATGTCTTTAATAAAAAAATATCATGTAAAGAACTTTGTGATCTTGGGATCAATAGAAAAACAAATGAAGGCATATCAAAGAAATGGTGCTCAATAAAGCTGCAAATCAAAAAGTTATTTGGAGTCCAATATTTGATATGATTCACAAATTTTTTTTATTTCTTCACTTATATTGTTTTTTTATTTTATTTCATTATTAATATTAATAATAAATATTTATTGCATATAATTTCACATATTTTGATATATTTCAAGACCATGTCCCCTGAAAGTTTAATCACATCATTGTATCATAAGATCACACTAGTCAGATTAGCCTATATGCTCAAGGAACAAGTGAAATAGTTTAAATATAAGTTTCCACCCATGTTACCATTTAAATATAGATGTCACTCAATTAAAAATCATGATTCCCAAATCCAAAATAAAATTAATTTGTACATCAAAAAATGCACAAATTCCAAATCTTACATTTGTTCTTGGAATTATTACCATTTTAGCATTAGTTGCTTTGGGTATGTCTTCCAAATCATACGTTGTGGTGCCAAATGGCAGGTTTGTTAATTTCATTGTAAATTTTTCTCTAGTTTGGATTTGTTCTTTATTTATGGCATAAGGTATCATTTTAACATCATCTTTTTGAATCCTTATTGACCATTGGTTTAAAATCGTATTCTCATCTTTAACTCTACATCAGCTATTCTCCATGGGCCTGATGTTCTTGTTTTGATTTTAATAATTGTTCCCAATTCTTGATCTACCGTTTTTTCAATTACCTTTCTAGTTATACCTAAAGGGATGCATGTCAGTCTAATTATTTTTTTTTGGTTGGTTATTGTATCAATGTTAGTTTCCAATTTGTATTCATTGCCTTCTTCAAGTGTTATCTTGCATGCTTTGTTTCTGGTATCTTTGCTGCTAAAAGATGCCATAATATACTGTTTTCCATTGTTAGTACTCAATTTGATACCAAGAAATTCTTTACCTAATTCTGATAATTTATTTTAATTTGTTATTACTACTACTCATGAAACTGAGAAATTATTGGATCCTTTGTTTTCTTGTTTAGATTGGATCAATGCTAATACTGCTCAATCAAAAAAATTTCCTAAACAAGTATTATCACTGATTTTTAGTGCCTTCATTTTTAACTAATTTAGCTTTATTTGTCTTGCTACTTGTTCTGAAAAATGCAAGTGTGGAATTAAGTAAAATGTAAATTGTAAGGAATAGTAAATGTGCATTTAAAACAAGGTAAAATTGTGGTGTTTTTAATCCCTGTAATATTTGTTGGGTTTTGTTGCAAGCATCCTCAAATAACGTTTAAGACAGATTTTATCACCAATATACATAATGTCTCTTTTTCTTCAGATTTTTTTTAGCACCAAGTGTAAATCTTTGTTTGACCCACAATCCAAAACTTGACGTTTTAATGATGATAAGGATTTTAATTGTTTGTAATAATTTTAAATTAATAATTAATTTTTATTAATAAAATTCGACTTTGAACACTATTTTATTCGGCCTTTAGTTATATATAAATTTTGTTCAAGCCAATAAAATTTTGTGATTTTGAAGGATGATCATCATGATAAACGAATGTTGTAACACTAGCAAAAAAAAAAATTTTTATATTTTTTTTTTAAAACTTAAAAAAATGGAACGTACTTATATTATGGTTAAGGTAAAATAAAAATAAAAGTAAAAATAATTATCAAATCAGACAAATATTCTTGATTAAAAATAAATTTATTTAGCCTGATGGTGTTGAACGTGGTTTAGTTGGTGAAGTTATTAAACGTTTTGAAACCAAAGGATACAAACTTATTGCTCTTCAACTTTTGAAAGTATGTATTAATAATCGACAACTTTTGAATTACAAGTATAAAATTTCCATGATTAATATATTTTTCTTGGGAAAAAAAGCCAACAGAAGAGCTTATTAAAGAACATTACGCAGATTTGAGAGAGAAACCATTTTTTCCGGGACTTTTGCAATGTTAGTCATTTGTTTCACTTTTTAATAATGTTATGTTTTAATGTGTGTGTAATAAATTATATTTTTGTTGTGAATGTTACAGATATTTTGTCTGGACCTGTGGTTGGTATGGTCTGGGAAGGTAAAGATGCAGTGAAAACTGGACGTCGTATGTTGGGTGAAACTGATCCTTTGAAATCTGCACCTGGTACCATTCGTGGAGATTACTGTATAGAAGGTTAAAATTATTTTGATTAATTGATTAGTAATTTAAATTTAATTCTATTTATTTACTTTGATATTTTTTATTCTATTAATGATATTTGTAGTTGGTCGTAACATGTGTCATGGGTAAGATTTTTGATTTTGTTTATTAAATATATTTAATTTATGTATATAGTTTTTAATCATTCACAATTATTGATTGATTACAGATCTGATTCTGTTGAAAATGCAGAAAAAGAAATAGCATTATGGTTTCCTGATGGAGTCACACAATGGAATCGTAATAAAGTTCATAGTTTATTTTATGAAAATTAAGGAATTATTTAAAGTTTATATTATATTATATATATATATTATATACTTGTGAATATTTTACTAATTTAAACATTGTAAAAATATATTTTAATGAATATATTAATTAATTAAATCCAAGGATTCTCATAACAGAATTTATCATCATTGTTCTTATTGTTTTTGTTATGTTGATCAATTTGTGTTAAATGATTTATTAAAAAATTTGCAGTTGTAAATTTTAAAGAAGATGAAGCACTAACAATGGTGATGGTGGTGACATAATCACCAGCAGTTATAAAAGCAGTGGCTGATGATTTCTCGATTAAGCAAGTTCTGCCGAAGATTTTATTTTTCCCAAGTTTTTATTTTGAATACTCTGTAATTCTTCATAAATCATCTGTTTATCATCAATTGTGATTTATAATATATATTCTTTAATGATAAAATAATTTTGTAAAATTCATAATTAGACATTTGTAAATGTTTTATTATTTATAAATGATAAAATCACTAAATTAAAATTGTTGAAACTTGGATTCCAAATCTTAATTTTCCATATCGTTCATTGCTGACTCATTAATATGCATTTTTTTATATATTTATATCTAATTGAAGAAGAAAGATGAATTATTTTGATTTTTGCTGTTAAAAATTAAATAAATTATATTCACATTACTCGTCCAAGTTTGTTTTGTGTCAAAATAGGCAAGTTCACATTAACAATCTTTGCGTTTTTGGATCTTGGTTTTTGATTTATGTTTTGTCTGAATAATTGACATCTTTTATAATTCATCAAAAAAAACATGACGCGTTTATAATACTTGAAGTGCTTCAAATTTATTTATTATTATTTGATAGTATACCCTCTTTAGATTTCAATGATTGTTCTTTGTAACATTTGTTAAAATATTCTATCAAGAATAAAACAAAGATTCAACAGACTTACCACACTCCAATCAAGTGTCGAATAATTTTCATATGTTTCTATTAAACAATCAATCACTATTGAACATATGGATGTTAATCAGTAAGTTACACTAACATAATGGTTATTTGGCTTGGCACAATTGGAATTTCCCAAAATCAATAAAAGCTTATCTTCCGCTGCACGCAACAGCCTTCTGCAAACCTCTCGCATTTCTCTTTCCCTTCCTTTCTCCCTGATTCTGTTACTGCTGGTTACGGTGTTGTGATTGCAGCTGTGACTGTTGGGTTATCTTACATGTGCCTGTCGTGGTGTAGTAGTAGAACTCTACTATTATTATTATTATCATGAATTTCAAATTAGTCGATCAGAATTCTGTACCCAAACACACAGATACCCAATCTGGTAATAATAATTTCACCCAAAGATATGTATGACAGGTTTTTTAATTTAATTAATTTCTTTGTGTAAAAAAATTATAAATATTCAATGATCCCAGCAATTGACACCAAAATAATATGTGTACTTGTGAGTGCATATATAGATTTACACCTATTTCACATTTTGCGAAAAAAAACTCGCGTAACTCAAATGAGCACTTGCTAAATTGACTAAACTATTTAGTCATATGTTAAAGTTAGGTTTGGTCAAGGTTTTAACCCTTTTACGCTGCCAGCCGTGAAAAAAACAACCCTTCTGTAATTCTACTAATAGAATAAATCGAATTGGATACAAGCATGCCTGTTACCGATTAATTTAAACATAGAAATATGTAATTTTTCCTTCATGAATGCAATGAAATGGCATTGGTAACTCTAATATCATTACTAAAATAAAACTAAAAAAAAAAACCAATAGTTAAAGTTTTTACACACCAATTAAATTCTGTGGAATAAATTGAATGAATTGAATGAATAAATTCAGGAATATTTTTGCATTTTGGATTTTAAATATTATCCGAAAACTTTTCGTTTCTTTTTTAACAACGTTGGTGACACCCTTGCAATTGTTTATTTATTTATTTATTATTTATATACCAAATACATGCTACAAAGAAAGAATAATGTTATTGATGTTGATAGTGTGATTATATTAAAAAGATAAACAAAGTACCATATACGATTGGTTAGTCCTTTATTTGGAAGTAACATAAGTAACATGTAACCCACTCCATACTTCAAACAGAAAAGGTTAGCAAGATATCACAGCCCTGTCCATCTATTTTTCACTCATGTATTTTCTTATTCTTACTTGTTTATTACTGTTATGCTCATTGTTATCACATGGTTAATCATTATTGTCGAGTTGATGGTGTTAGTTGCAAAAGGTAAAAATCTTTTTATTATGATCATCAGATTGATTTGCTTCTTTAAGAAGGAAAAAAAAAGCGAGAGAAAATGTTTTTCTTTACCTTCAAACGTGGTTAACCAAAATACTGCAAAGCTTTAGTTGGCTGATTTTTTGGCCTGATCGGATTCTTGTTGAGTCCGAAGAAATCTTGCATCCTATGTGACAACCATTAAAAGAAGTTAAGCATTGTGTGGGAGAAAGATGCTCATTTAAGTCTGACGACACCTAAACTTAACACGTTAAGGGGGGTTTTTTTTATTGATGGGATGAGTTATTTCATTAAATGAAATAAAATTTCTGTTTTGATTTCAGCATGTTCTTACAATTATTTATTTTTGATCGTTTATATATAAAGAAATAATAATTAAGATTTTAGCTACCTCAAAAGGAAGAAAGATCATATCTGTCTGGTGATTAGACGAAAAAATTCTCCATAACTAATTCCAAAACTAATGTTTATCATATGATTTTCAGTATGATTATTACAAGATATTTTATATGAGAAGCGAATCATAATTACAATAGGAAAATTATCAATCTTTTCTTTTTAGTTCTTTCGTAACGCAATAACAATAGCTATGATGCACGTCATCTATAAACTTTTAAAGTTATATAACAAATTCAAAATTTGGTAGTGTGTCTGTCTGGCTGGCCGTGTTCTCTTGTGCGTCATGAAAATTCATTCATCTCCTTAACTTGTGTCACCATTAAAGTTGTTGACCGTAACCATTTTTTGAATACTGGTTTTTTAATCCGAAATAGTTTCGGATTCGGCAGCTAATGACTTTAGTCACTATGAAATTTTGCACCAATAATCAAGCACAAATTATTATAACTCATTAAAAAAAATAATTAATTATTAATCATTTCCTAAATGATCAGATCGACATATAAAAAATTTGATCTATATTTTCGGGTTACCTTTTCTTTTGCTTTCACATATGTTCTGTAAGAAAATAATTACGGCAATCATTTCAGCTTTTCGATATTCTTTATATGAATGAACATAAATAACCATGCGGATTGGTTTATTTATTGTAGATTAAAGAGTTTAAATAATTTTGGATGTAATTTCGGCAACTATTAAAATTAATTACGGCCACTATGGAAACTATCATGAGGATAATTAATTACTGCACACATCTATGGGTTTATATTTTGCTACTGCCGTTGATGCTATGCTGCTGCTTTTTCCAAAATGCTCATCTTTTAAATTATCGAAAAGAATTTACAATGCGCAAAGGAACTAAATGAAGAAATGGGAAATGTCACAGAAGTCGAACAGTTGAATCATTCATTTATTTAAACAAACGGCCATTAAAAAAGACGCCAATCAAAATAAAAATAATGATAGCAATGGTCTTGTGTATAATGATGATGATTATATTGTGGTGATGATGATAACGATACTGTTAAAGTGTCGTTGATATCGGTCTTACGAATGTTATTAATGTTGATGGTGTGACTGATAATGTCAATCATTAGGATTAATAGAAAGAGAATATATACACAAATCATAGAGCAATTCTATAGAAGCAATGATGAATGCTCTTCATGTGATAATCATTACATCAGTTGTATTTTTTACTATATTTTAATAGACGGTCCCTTATAAAAATTAAACCCATAACTCTGGCTAGAAACCAAAAATCAGATTCCCCGAGAAGCAAGAGTTGTCCAACTTAAAGCTTACCTACTTAACAAGCAGTGTTGGAAATTGAGTGTTACATTTAATCCAGCCGATAATTTATTGTGCAGAAAAATCCGTGCAACTAAGTATTAGTAATAAATTGCTGATGTCTTCAGGTATACATACTTTCCTTTTTTATCAATGATAAATCATTGATGATTTCAGTTATAATTCTATTTTTTTGAATGCAAAAATAAACAATATACTTTTATTTATTATTGATTTTTTAATAATAAATTTTTTTTTGAATACTGTGAGATCAAAATCCATTATTTACGGTGATGATATGCCAATAATGTTAATCCAATTTCTTCGGATTTATTTATACTAAATCATAATAACAATTTCCATGGATGTATGTTTATGCTTTACCCTCAAAACTATCTAATACTAAGCAATATCTTCTTTCAATTACCCAAATTCAACAATTATTATTAAACTAACACTCCTTATACTCCTAATGCACATGTAGAAAGAATATTTTCAGAAATGAAGTTGATAAAAAACAAATTGAGAAACAAAATGAATATTAATACATTGAATAATCATTTAATGATTTTATTAAATGGACCAGATATTCAAAATTTTGATTTTAAAATAGCATATGAACATTGGGCAAATAAAAATGAAAGAAAATGTGCGCATTTCTTATGTAACACAAACCCCGCACTCAATTTAACAAGAATCCATATATGTTGCCGACTTATCAAGAAATTTTAAATATAGTAATTATAAAAAAATTTATCCGAGTTTGGCCAATCTGGCTTGCCAAGTTTACATGTTTGTACACGATTTTTTAATTTTTCCCAAATTTCGGGTTTTGGTGCAGCTATTGACGTCCATAGAATTGTTCCTCCCTTGAAAAACGACCCTCAAATTTTGATGAATTCTATGTATGTTAATTCTACTGTTATATTAAAATACCTTTATCGAACCAATTCTAGTTATATTAAATACGCGACAAAATTTCCAAAATTTAAAATCAAAAATGTAATAAATAATAAGTAATTGCAATAATCGTTTAACGAATTTTTCATAGCGATTCATTATAATACAAACTAGGTATATAATAAATAAAGAAAATGCACGGTTTCTCGGATGATCTTCAGTTGTGGCTTCCTAAAAGGGTCAATGATCGATATATAACAATGATTACCTTTATTGGCCAGGATCTTCTACTTTATCTCCAAACTTCTTTCTTTAAAAATTTTCAAAATATTTACTTTGACGAAAAAATTTCCTATTTGGTAATGAAAAAATTCTTATTGTACGTGGGAAAATTATATATTATGTCATTTTTTGAAATTAATTACATCATTAAGCTCATTATATATATTATCACGCCAGGTGTTAAAAATTATGGAATTTTCTCAGCCAAATTATATATATATATACAGAAATGACAAAAATGATTACTCATTAAATATACAAAAAATTCTTGTTTGGAAACGAGTTTTTTTTTGGGAAAAAAAATAATGCAAATGATCTGTTGTTGCATGTACATATAAATATATAGCATATATAGCATAAACGTGGGATCACATGACTAAATACATTATATTTTTAGTATAGTATTTTGTTCTTTGAATACCAAGGAAGGTGGGTGCGATTGGTTCATTTTTAATTAAATTGTTCAAGATCAAATCATTATAGTCAGTAATTTGTTCATTCTTGAGCTTTTTGGATTTAACAAAGGAATATTTGTTATGTTTATATAACAAATATGTAAGTGTGATATGTGTAAATTTAGATTTACACATGTGGAAAATGTGTAGAAATGTGTGTTTTTAATTTATGCTTTTAATTCCTGGGGATGAGATCAAAACCCAATTAATCAGTAATTAATTAAGAATAAAACATCACATTATTTTTTGATTGTTTTTTTTTTATTCTAATTTAAGACAACAACAAACCATTTTCCAGCTTTCAATTTACCAAATTAATTCAACAAAATTAAAAAATTTCAATTACATAAATTATATAATGGGAAAACAAAGTGGGGGTATAAAATTAACAGTAAACTTTTATTTGACATTGACTTTATTTAGAAATGCGAGGGAAACCTTGTGATTGGATGGATTCATTTTTCTCTCTCACAAATTTTCCATAAAAGGATGTCAACTTAATACAAAAGGATGAAATTTATCGCATAAAAAATATAAAAAATATAAACCCAACAAATCTTTGAATTAAGCCATTCATTACTTAGCCTGGTTTGACTTCTATTTACTATAATAACCTAAATAATTAATTCGAAAATATTAATGCTAATGTTAATAATAGGTGGTCGATGTTATGATTGTGTATGATTGTGTGTATATATATTTGTGTATATTATTTATTATAATAATTTTTATTAGTTCCAAAAATATCTTTGCGTAATATGTATGACACAAATTAACATTTTCAGGAGAGAGAGGAAAAAAGTCTTTATAGGTACAAGTGGTTCAGTGGTGTAAATTATCATTAATTTGTGCCATTTCCTTTATAAACAATAATGATATAATATTATTATCTGCATTCTAATATATGTTTATCTAATTTATACAATTTATGGTGTATGCTGTCTGTCGTACGACTTTAAATTTTAATATATTGTCTATCTGACGTCCGTGTAACTTTAATTTACTTTTAACCCCTTTATTAGTTGGATTTTTTTGGCTCATCTCCTGTTAATACCTCGTAAGTTTTTTTTTTCTCAAAAAAAAAAATTTTTATTTATTTATACTTTTTAAAATAACATAATATCATCACATCCCCTTTTCATATATGTATATATATATACAAACTTTTTTTTAAAAAAATAATTTTTTTAATTCTTTTTTCCTCCCTTTTTTTTTCCTTAAAATTTTCTCTTATCTTTACTAAATAATAAAATTAATATAATAATATTTATAATAATATAATTAAAAAGCGACATTTTTATTTATTTCAAAAAAAATCATAAATTTCTTAATTATACTTTAATAATAATAATAATTATAATAATAATAATTACAACTAATACTACCATTTCAAACATTAATAATGACTGAACCAACTGTTTCTGCCGAAGAACCTTCAACTACTGCTGTTCCAGCAGATACAAAACCAATTGAAGAGACAAAACCAACTGAAGAGGCAAAAGCCGAAGAGACAAAAACCGAAGAGGCAAAACCAACCGAAGAGTCAAAAACCGAAGAGGCAAAACCAACCGAAGAGACAAAAACTGAAGAGGTAAAACCAACTGAAGTGGCAAAACCAACCGAAGAGAAAAAAGAGGATACTATTGATACAGCAACAACAAAACCTGATGCTGGTGCTGAACCTATAACTACTCCCGAAGTTACTACCTCTAACACCGCAGAAAATAGTGAAGTAAAAAAAGATGATGATAAAAAGGAAACTAATAGAGAAGTTGTCAAAACTGAAGAGGATAAAGAAGAAGAACTTATCGAAACTGGTGACATAATTACCCTTAAAAGTGGCATATTTTCTCAAAAAGCTGCTCATTATGCTGCCTTTGGCACTGATGAACCAATTCCATTGGAAAAATTAACTCAATATTATAGAAAACATATTAAACAAACCAAATCCATCACTCCTTCCCTCTCTTCTTCTAGTAGCACAACAACACCCGCCACTAAAACAAAAACAGAGGATACCACAACAACAACCAAACCCGATGACAGTGAGATTGTTGTTGAAGATGATTCAAAAAAACCAACAACTGAAGCTCCTGAAAAAACAAAGGAGGAAAAGGAATCAACTGAAGCTGCAGCACAAGCGGTTGAAAAATCCAACAAAAAAATTGAATCAAATAAAGCTCTTTATAAGAATCTTGCTCATGCTTCTATAACAGGAAAAGGCCTTTTAGTATATTACAAGACTAAAAACGATTATGACAATAAAGAACCATTTGGTATTATTAATCTTAAATATTCAGATGTTCTTGATTCCGATAACAAAGGTTATCAAAATTTTACAATAAAAACTAGGATTCGTGATTATAATTTTACCGCATCAAGTCATAATGATAAAATAAAATGGGTAAAGTCTATTAAAAAAAAAATTGACGAAGCAAAATCTTTGCCACCAATTGAAGATCAGGATAAATTCAAAGAAGTTTATCAAAAACTTGAAGGTGTGTGAATAATATATTTTGTTATTTATTAATTAAAATTGCTTATTAATATTTTATTTTATTTTATTTATATTAATTATTTTCTCCATTAATATAGACCCCAATGTAGGCTTTACTAAATTGGTTAATGTTCCTAATGTTACTTCAGATTCAGATGTACTTTCTGAAGAGGATGATCATCCACAAAAAACTCCAATTTCTGATAAACGTAAAACGATCACCAACTTCTTTAGTTCACTTATAAAAGATCCATCTACTGAAACTCCTCAATCTTTAACTACAAGCGAGACAACTACCACCACCGATGATACTTCTAAAACACCTCAAAAACAAAAGGGCTATTTTAATTTTCTTACAAGAAAAAATACTTCTGATGTTGCCACAAATGAAACTACCGAAAATGCTACTACTACACCTAATGCTACTACTACACCTGATGCTACTACTACACCTGATGCTACTGATGAGACTACTACCGGTGATAAAGCTGAGGAAAAACCCGAAGAAAATGTTGATGACACAACACGTGATGCTGCTACTAAAGAACAAAAAGACTCATTCATTAAAAATTTATTTAGAAAAGCTGTAAATGAAGTAACTAGTGTTGTTTCTTCTACATCAGCCCATGGTGAAACTACCACTACTGAACCCATTACTGATGAACCATCATCATCATTGAATCAAGAACCTAATAAAAAAGAAGAGGGGGAGGAAAAGAATGTAGATGAGAAAAATAAAAAACCCGTAGTAACTACAATTGAAAATGAAGATAAAACAGATAAAACAGATAAAACAGATAAAGCAGAGGGTTCAACTAGTCCCACAAGTCCTGGTCCCGGTCCTATAGAATTAACTAAAAAACTCATAAGTCGTAGTAAAACATATTTACAAAAAGCAAAAAGACCTGATAATAGTAGTACTAGAGAAGTAGAAACACCAGATGCTACCACAGGAAAAACTGACGAAGTAACTAAAACTGATACAACTGCCGTTGCTACTTCCACTACTGATGCAAAACCTGATGACAAAAAAGAAGAAACTATAGCAGAAGAAACCAACGAACCTGTTGCAAAAACGGCTGAAGATACCTCAGCTACTCCAGAAACAACCGCACCAACTGAAAAAAAGAAGGGCATTTTTAACAAAGATAAGCGTGATAAAGAAATACTCCAACCCCGTATCGATGACAGTATAAAACATGGCGAATTATTTAAAGTGTCACAAATTCTTAAAATACCTGATAAAACATATTTCGTATTAAACAAAGACGGAACCTTAACTTACCTCAGTAATAAAAGAGAAAAAAACATAGATCTTACAGGTGCTGAGGTTAAAAAAATTGATCCCGATAGTAAAGAAAAAACAGTGGAAAAAGAAAAACCTGAAGAAAAAGAAAAAACAGTGGAAAAAGAAAAAACAGAGGAAAAAGAAAAAACAGAGGAAGAAAAAAAACCAGAGGACAAACCCGAGGAAGAAAAATCTGCGGAAAAAGAAAAAATTGTGGAAAAAGAAAAACATGAAAAACACAAATATTATATAGAAATTGATACAAAAGCTCCAAGAACTTATAAAATTTACACTGAAGATAAGAAACTTCGTGATGAATGGCACGATGCTATTCAGGAAGCCATATCCTTGAAAAACCAGAAAGAATCAAAAAAAGAATTGCTTCCAACTATTGCACAATCAGATCGTGATTTTACAGCTGAAGTTCATGATGCTACAAAAGTAGAAAAGGTAGAAGAAGAATCATCACAAGGAAAAGATACCACTAAAACAGATGAAACCACTGTTACCGCTCCTGTTGACCCTAAAGTTGAAAAAACAGATGTAACACCATCTGAATCAAAACCAGAACCAGAATCAAAAACTGATGCTTCTGAGCCTACAAAAACTGATCCTGAGCCTTCTACTAAGGCTGAGACGGTGCCATCTGACACAACAGCGTCGTCATAATATCGGATAATAAAAAAGATTGAAATGATTTGATTTGTGATGGGGTTTTAGCAAAAATTTTATATTTTATTTTTTATGTCTTTTTTTCTAATTTTTAATATATTATTAATTTAATAATAATAATACCTAATAATAATTTTTATAATGATAATAAATATATTAGCAGTAAATAAATAACCAATAATATCACCTTGCTATTAATTATTTATGATTACTTTTTTGCTTTATTAATTTTATTTTTCTATGTTTTTATATACATACATAATATATTTATATATATATATATAATTAATATATATATATATAGTTTTTCATTTCAATTAATTTCACGTGTAACATCTACATCAAACACAAGTATCAAAATGTGATTGGCTGGTTTTGCTTTGCAGATCAAAACAATTTTTTAATATAAAAAAGATTATTATAATAAATAAATAAATAAATAAATAGATTCAAACTTTTTGATTTGTAATAATAATAATGGAAAAGGTCAAAATGAATCATTTGCCGTTGGGATCTGATCAAACTATTGATTTTAAACGTTATTATTTTTATGGCTTCATCATTAATCTTTTGCCAATTTATATATTTTATCCAATAAGAACCGCAAAAACTATTCAACAGTCAAACATTGGTACTGAATTGTCAACATCTTTATTTGAAGTTTTTAAAGAAAGATTAAAATCAGAAGGAACACGAGGCTTATTTAAAGGTGTTGGTGTTTATGCGATGGGTAGTATAGGTGGTAGATTAGTCCACTTTGCAACCTATGATGCTTTAAGAGAACGTGTTGGTAAAGGTAATGCAAAAAATATTGGTCTCTCGTGGCTTGAAGGCCATAGTCAAACAACGATCAATGCTTTCTTGGGAACATTGAGTGCTGTAATTACCTCTAGCTTTATGGTACCATTTGATGTTATATCACAACAACTTCAAATTTCTAAGGCATCATCGTCTGGAATAGACACTGTAATTCCCGGTGGAGAGCTACCTTCATTAAATAATAATAATAATAACAACAACTCCAAAATATCAAAAAGAACAATATCAACTACATCGTCGAAAAAATTAGCAACATTCGAAATCGTATCAAATACAACACCCGCAACAACATCATCCATCAAAACAGCATTAATTGAGTCATCTCAAAAAAATTTCATTACACGTTTAAAACCTAATGATGTACCACTTTATCGATTTTTATATCGCGGCTGGACCGCAGGACTACTTAACACTGTTTCATTTTTCCCCACCTATTTTTTTGTTTACACTTATACACTGGAACAACTGAGACTACAACAACAAAACAATCTATATTTAAAAAATATTTTACCAACATCGCATTTTTTACTTTCTGTAACGTCAGGAGTTGCAGCAGGAACTATGGCAACCTTTACGTCGGCACCTTTTGACGTTGTCAAAACCAAAATTCAAATAGCTAGAAAATCCGGTCAAGGAGACTTGAAATGGTTAAATGTTGCGAATCAAATAATCAAAACCGAAGGAATGAGAGGATTGTTTGTTGGTATGTCGGCTAGGTTATGGATTGTTATACCGTTAGGAAGTTTGAATTTCTGGGTATTTGAAAAAGTTAAAGAGTGGAGTACCGTAGATGTTGCTGTTAATCCGGATGAAAAAAGTTGAAAAGTTTTATTTTTTATTAAAAAAATTTTTTTTTTGTATATTACTATTATTATCATTACTGCTATTAATCTAATAAACTCTAATTGTAGTTATATACCATACACATGTAGATTATTATTTATTATTTTATCATCATAACATAGATTTTTATTACACTATAATAATCATAGATCATTTAAATTAATTAATCAATCAAATTTATTGTTATCTTATTTATTCATTTTATTTTTCATTTAATTAATTTAATTAGAAAAAAAAAATCAATAATAAATGAATTATTAATTAAAATTTTATTATATCAGTCATTTTTATTACGCTAAATCGGGAAAAGAAAATCAAAGATTCAGAGTCCTGTGGTATATCTTACCACAATTAAAATGACAAACAGGGAGTTTATAAGTGTATCAGGCTTCTCTCCATTGTAAGTGTTCATGTTGCAATAAAATTTATAGCAGCATTAACATCTCGATCCCAATGTGACAAGCTGGAATTTTTGATTCTTATCAAACCACTCATCGCACTCACAAAGAAACATCTCGCAACTTTTTGTCCGAGTTAAACAGGAGTGTGCTCTTCCAGTCAGTATCTAGTCCAAATACTCTGCACCGAGTCCAAAAATGTTCATGTGCTTGCTACATTCTGATAAACAGGTATATCATCTTATCCAAGCAGTATTTAATTGTGTTAATGAAAATGGGGATCATGGGAAAAGGTCCAAATGGCACTTTTGGTATGTGGAATTAAGAAACTGGACAAAGACAAGAAACATTTGAAGATCCACTTGTGATAATGCTGTGGACAAAAAATCTATGATTTATTTATGTTTGGTAATTTGTGGTTACTGTCAAAGCATCGAACTAAATTTTATCATACCAACTTCAAATGTAATGATAGTAGTTTTGGATTGATCGAGAAAGACAATGTATATTGATTGTGTGGACCATGTTATAGGCGTTGTGAAAGATCTGGTGTTGCAGGGTTGAATAGAATTTAACATTATGTATATAATACTTTCAATCTTTTGATATTAAATCTAGCTTGGGGATATTATGAAATTTCAACATTGCTAATGAGTCCTTCCATGAATTTAAATTAGGAAATCAGAAATTTTCCAAGTATCGAGAATACCTTTATAATAAATAACATTCGTCAGTTTGTAAGAGATAAATTCAAAGATATTACTATGTCCAAGATTTGTATCGTTTATTTCAAATACATACATAACAACTTATCACCTTGTTCTTACTTTTAATGGTGCTATATATAATCCTTTGGTTGTTCCATATAAATTAGGTTCATATAATAATTTTAATATCGGAACAATCTTATATATCGTTAAGAGGAAAGAAATATTTACAATGAATATATTTTTCCAAATTAAGGCTCTGAACGAATCGAATACGAATTGTGCTTTGATTCGATTCGAACCTGGTCCGAATCTATAGATAACTTGGTTCAAATCTAATTCAAATATATACCATATGAATTCCGAATGGTTGCTTTTGGAAATGTTGTATGTGAAATTGAAATTATGTGAAATTCTGATTGGCTAATTTGAATTTCACGCATGTAAATTTGAATTTCACATATGTGAATTGTGAATCCACATAATTTCATTTTCACGTACAACAGAAACAAATGGTTTCGAAAGTCAAAAAAATATTTGCCTAGTGCAATAATTGAATTTAGTTTTCCATCTACAATTATGAAATGGTTCCATACTTCATTTCTTGTTCTTCTTTGAACACATTGCATTATGCCTGTGTTGAAGGGCATCATTGTTATATTTATTATGTTACTTATCGTTATTAATATTATGCCACCAGATAAATTACATTATATGCAAACAGAAATTTTATTTGAACATTTATGTGATAAGCTTGGAAGAAGTTTATTGGAAAGCAAAAATCCAGAGTCGGAATTACAAGGCCCAAATTTGACTAGATATTCAGAAGAATAATTTAAAAATGGCCCAAGGTATAACCAAAAAACCAAAAGAATAATCATTCACAATTAAAATATGTACTTGCCAAGTTGTGTTATCTTGATACTCACCTCCCAAAAGTCATGGACCACTTTTTTGAAAACCAATTGAAATTTTATTGATTTATTAACTACATGTGAAATTTTACAGTATATTCTTGAATTATCTGTTTATGTTTGTTATGATTTTCATCACTGAATAAAGAGTTACATAAAAGTTTTGTTATTGTGTTTGTTTTGAACCTTTAAAATTTTTGATTGTCACATTTTTTTAATAATGGAAGTTGATAATTTAAACTCAAAAAGGAAAGAATTAAATGAAGAAACCCGTGGTCAAATTGTTGGTATGTTCCAGAGCCAGTAGTATTGTGAGAGAAATTAGTAAAGTTCTTGGAATACCAAAGTCTACAGTCCATAATATTTTGGTGTGCTTTAGAGTCACCCATACAACAAGTTCTGCATCTCAACCTGGGCGTCCAAAATTAATTGGTGAAAAAAAGAATGAGTTATAAATAGAATTGTTAATAAGAAACCCTATAGTACTTTAGCTGAAATACAGCAAAACTTTGAAAAAAAAACTAATACCAAAGCATCACAAAAGACAATCTGTAGGTCCTTACATAATCTTGGTTTTTTTTCTCATGTTCCAGCACAAAACCTTTATTGTCTGATGTACAAATGGAGAACCGACTTAATTGGTGTTTGGAAAGCAATCATGGTCTATTAGAAGGTGGGGAAATGTTAACAATGATGGTCTAAATCATGTCTGGAGAATTTGTGGTACACATTTTGAAAAACAAAATTTGGTACCAACTATACATGATATGGTAATTAGCTAATTACCGTAAATACGTAATTCGTAATTAACGTAATTAATTACCACTTTCACTCTTTAAAAACGTAATTACGTAATTAATTACGGGTGACGAAATCAATTACGGGCGACGAAATCAATTACAGGCGACGAATTAATTACTATTACTATTGTGAAAATTTTCTATGCAAACCATTGTTAACATTATACATGGGATGGTACATATGCACCCCCGTTAAACCGAAGGCAATTGTGCAGGGACTTTTCTTCGGATTAACGGGGTTTTTTATAATCCGAAGCTATTATTAGAGTCATAAATTAATTCGGATAAACGGGGTAGTAAATTTAAAAATTTAGAATTTCTTTTATCCATTTATTAATAATAAATCATAATTTACAAAATCATTTAACTAAAATAGGCATCAATTTCTGTTTGAACCATTGACATAAAAATTTCTTTAATTCTCTTTTAAATTTGCTTAATTCATGCAGGAAACTCTCACTAATACTCATTCCTCTTTCTTCTTGCATTAGAAAAAATTGGAGCCTTTCAATTGATTCCATAGCCTAGTCCATAATTATTTTACCTTCAGAAACTTGAGATTGGTTATCTTCTTCTTCTTCAATCGCTTCCTTCCCTTTAACTAGTTCAATGATTTTTTGATCAGCTAATTTAAAGCTCCGAACGAACTGGGCTGAAGCTCAAAATTTCGAGTTCGAGTCGAGCTCGAGCCAAGAAATAATAGGCTCGAGTCTGACGCCACATAAAATTTTTTTAAGTGATGAATGACGAATTTTATTTATGCACATTACCTAAAAAACAATTTAAGAACCTATTTTCTTGAACTTAGGCCGAACTTGAAAATTCAAGTTTTAACTCGAGGTTGCTCAACTTAAGCAATAAAGCGAATAAAACGAACGATTCGAATAAACAAATAAAACGAACGATTCGAACGATTCGAATAAACGAATAAAACAAACAATTTGAATAAACGAATAAAATGAACAATCCGAATAAACGTATAAAACGAACGATTTAAACGATTTGGATAAATGAATAAACTAATAACTCGAATAAACGAATAAAACGAATGATTTGAATGATTCGAATGATTCGAATAAAATAAAAATGAATAATTCAAATAAACGCATAAGCGAATAAAATAAACTAATAAAACTAATAATAATAATTCGAATTAATTGAGTTGTATTACGAATAATTCGAATGAGGATTTGTATTACGAATAGGAATTCTAGCTGATAATAAAGATTTTTTAAACAGGTTGCATTTCGTTTTAATTCTCTACAAATATTTGAGCAAACATTGTGAAATTTAAATTCGTGTTACTATTTACATAAAATTCAGTAGTATAACGCATATATTCCAGAACCTAAAAAGCATTGTTCTCATTTTAAACTTTCGGAATTTTTTAGTCTGTCATAAAATTATTTATGATGATTCAAATGTTCTAAACTTATACAAATTATTATAGTTTATTATTGCTTCAATTATTTTCAGTGTTTTGCAAAATCGTGATTTTATATAATATTAATATTAAATTTCGAGTTGGCTCGAGCTCGACTCAAGTTTTCGAGCTAGCACTTTTCTATATGCGAGCTGGCTCGAACACGCATACTCGAGCTAAGCATAAACTCGGCTCGTTCGGAACTTTAAGCTAATTTATCCTGATTTTGCAGTCTCAAATCTATTTCTATGTAGTCATTAGCAGATAATGGATCATCAAAATTAAAACAATCAATCATTTCTTGGATTGAATCTGTATCATCATCAGATGGTAAAATTAAATAATCTTCAATATTTTCCGAAGAAGGAAGGATATCAACTTTAGACCAGCATGAAACAATTGTACTAGGCGAAACAAGGTTCCATGCTTCTGCAGTAAAAGAAATAGCATCAAATATAGTAAGTTTTGGTATGGGTATTTGTTGATTAATCTTATTGTCATATGCATCAATTCTGTTTTGACATAAAATCCACCGATATTTTGATTTAAAGGAATGCATTATTCCACCATCACAAGTCTGGAGATGGGAGGTTGTATTTGGAGGGAAATAGTGTAATTTAATATTAGAAAGAGAAATTTTTTCTTCCAATGAATGCGATGTAGCATTATCTAGCAGAAGCAAAATGTGATGTCTTGCTTTTCTCATATCTTCATTTAATTTTGCAAGTCAATGATAAAACACAGATGATTGCATCCAGGCACACGAATTCCAATAATAAAAAACAGGCAAAGTTTTCTTATCAATATTTCTTAAACATCTAGGGTCTTTATACTTATGAACGAAAAGAGGTGTTAATTTGGATGCTCCTGTAGCATTACAGGTAAGTAAAACAGTAACTCAGTCCTTTGGCCTTTTAGTGCCTGAAAGTAGTTCACTAGTAAGAGTTTTGGAAGGTTCTAGCTTCCAGTAAAGTGCAATTTCGTCACAATTGTATACATCATCAAGATTCCATTGACTAAGAAAATTTTTGAGATTATCATGATATTGTGACAATTCCTCCAAAGGTGCAGAATTTGACTCACCACAATGAACATGTTCAGAAATATTGTATCATCTTTTAAATCTATCAAACCACCCATTTGATCCTTTGAAGTCATTTATCTGAAAATGTCGGGCAAAAACTTTAGCTTTTGAAATAACAATATGCCCAGATAAAGTACAATTATTACTTGCTGCCTGATCAATCCAGAGTGCTAACGATTGTTCAATTTCTGGATATTTTGTCTCACAATATGAATTTGCAGTGAATTGATTTGAATTCAATGATAAAAAAAAATCACTCTTTTTTAGAATTTCAGAAACAGTAGATTCACCGACATTATATTTAAATGCAAGCTAGTTATTTTTATGTTTGGGTCTTTATTTTTTTCAATGCATATTTCTATTTTTTGTGAGATTGTTATAGGCATATGTCCCTTGTAAAGGATTGACTCAAAATCGAAATTTTGTTGTTAGAGCTGTTTCTACTTTCTGCATCCCATATATACAATAATACCATATTTTTATAATCTAAATACACAGTTTAATAATTTACAAAGGTTTACATATTAGTTTTTTTTTTCAATAAGAGTGCATATTTTGGTTTGAATTTATTATCTTTTTATGTGTAATTATAGAAATTATTCAAGACAACCAGTCAAAACTTTACCATGTTTGTTTTAAAGATAGTTGATAAATATTCAGAGAGTCAATCATGACTATGAAAAACTGACTTGCAAACATGGAAGCACCTGCTGCAATTGAAAGAGGAAGTAAATTAGCTAAGGATTTCCCTGAATTATCTTTATTAAATAATTATTATAGGGATAAACAATAAAGACTTGTATATTAATAATCCCAAAGAATTTGAAATAATCCCTAAGACTTCAAAGAGTAAATGAGAAGAATAGATAGAATAAAACTTCAATTTCAGAATCAACTAGGATCTTTCCACAGTAAGTTCTGGTCAAATATATCAGTTTAATTTTGTTAACTAAATTTTTTTTATTCAATAATTTACTTATTGTAATTCTTAAAATTTTTTCTTAAAATTCATAAAGTCTTTAATTCATAAGTAATTTATTTAATTATAAAATTGTTTTTTTTTATCAATAAATTTTATTATTGTACATAAGATATTTCAGATCAGATCCAATCCAATCTGTTCAGAGCTCCTTCAAACTCAATCATTTGAATTATTTTGAAATACTAAAAACCTGCTTTCATTCCTGTATGATGCCAAAATAATATTTTTTTTCCTGCTTTACAGCTTTTCTATTTTAGTGTCTAAAGTTCACCTGATGCTACATCCACTTGGTATAATGTTTAATTCTTCAAGTTGCTTGGTTAATTCATAGGCAGTTGTTTTGGGGCTCTTTCTTACTACTTTCACAAGTTGTCTTTCATAATTTTTAGGTCTGCCGGTGCAGTTATTTTACATTTTTTTAAAAACAATCATTAATGGTATTTTCAGCTGCTCTTTTGGATCTGTTTAATGTGTTAGTTATTTTCCTATAAGAAAAATTTGCCAATAATTTTTCCGCATTCAAATTCAGATAATTCAGTATCTCTGGGCATTTTGAGTCTTTAAAAAATATGGTTTAATTTGGAAATTTAATGTTTTTTAAAATTGAAAAAAATATGGCACGCTTTGTGAAATTCTGCAAATAACTAGATTCGAACTTGATGAGCACTTTTTAATTACACCATTTTTGATGATCAGTAAGTGTATATAAAAATGTTCATTAATATTATAAAGGAAAGAGGAAATTACAAATATATATATATTATTTATTGTGTGTATATAATATTAAAGTAATATGTGTGCTATATATTATAATTTTTGATTTTCCAAATAAATAAATACTACACATTTTACATTTTCCAAATAATATATTATTTTTCAATTTTGCTATAAAATTTTCTAATTAATAAAACATAAATATAAAAAGTAATGGAAAAAGATATAATTATAACCAAATAAAAATAACAATAAATAAATAACCTACAATGTAATAAACAAATAACTTTGGGTTTTTTTTAAATAAAGTAAAAAGTAAAGATGAATTGATGATGATAAATAAACAAATGATATAAATTAGGAAAAAAAATTTTTTTTAAAGAATCAAAAAAAAAGTTCATTAAATGTGTTAATTAAATTAAAGTTAGAAACTATATATATATATATATATATATATATATGTATATATGTATATATACTATAAAACTAAATATACATAACCTATATTAATATCAGATTATAATAAATATTTAATAATAATAATAATCAATTATAATATAAAATTACCAAATTTCATTATTCTTGTCCGAATCCTATGGTCTCTTCTACAGCTAGTGTTAATTTTGCTACCAATCTATTAATAGTATAAAAGTACATATGGTCAAAATAAAAAAATAGCAAAGAGAAAAACGCAATTTCAATTGAAGGCTTTAAATCAAAACTCACGCATCATATGTTTTATATGGTGGCAAGTCAATACGATTGAAGCTATTCAAAGTAAAAAGATGGTTAATGATTTCAAATAAACTGTCATACAATTTAAAAAATTTTCTCAACATTGCTACATACCAAGTATGGCTTTTTGGTAATTGAGTAATATCACCTGCCTTCTCTATTGTAAATCTTCTGGGTCCATCACTACCTTGTAAATCTTTAAATCCATTGACAGGGATACGTGATGTTCCAGTGGTGAATTGCAGTAAACGAGATTTCTTTTCTGAATCCCACGATCTTACACACTATAAAATGATTAAGATTATTTAAATATGTATACAGTCCTTTAAAACAAAATAAAACATTGCTTAAATTATATTATTCAAACCTTCCAGAACCACTGTATAACTTCATCAGATTCAGTATAGCCTCTATAATCAGTATGCTTCTTCCAATCATCCACGTCAATCTCTGCTATACCTCCAATAAGTAACTGTAATAATAATAAAAAAAGAATAAAATGAATTTGTTTCAAATTGTATAATAATTACAATATCAGTGCAGTCCTATGTTAACTAATAGCAAATAAAAAAACTTCCAACCTCTAATTCACGTTCATCAAAAACTGAAATCAAATCTTGAGGTATTAATTGATTAAATCCTTCCATAAATGCTTTAAATTGTTCTTCAATACGTTTTGAAATACGCCACTCAGTTATATGTCTAAATATCATAATTTAAAAATTAGTTACTGTCTTTTGGGTGGCTTTAAATAAGATATCATAATTATACATTATATAAATAATATTAAAAAATTACTCAATATATTCTTTTTTGCTTTCTTCTGTAACAGGAATATCTCTTCCATTTGGTTTTAAGTCAACGGTCACCACTTCACCAAATCGATCATCCTCTGTTGAGAATGTCAGATCTAAAACATCTGTAATGTCATTATCTCTGTAAACATTTGTTAGCAGGTTAGATTTCTCTTACTTTATTGCAAAACAAAAAAATTGTTTTGATGGAAATCGCAATTACTATACATACAAAGCCCATTTTAAACTCCTAAAAAAATCTGCATCAACACTTTCCATATCAGGTAGCCCAACTTTCTTTTTTAAAATCATTTTGTAAAATGATGTGATGAAAAATGCATCTAAAAATCTACGATGAAATATTGCAAGACCAACTACACGGCCAATAAATTTAAAATAATTGAGATGTTCAGGATTAATTCCTGAATGAGGATTAATTTGAAGTGTGTAGTTATCATGCGCTGAATATTCAAAAAGACAATAAAAAGGATTGAACATTTCATGTGAAAGAAGGAAAAAGAATTCTCTGTTTAAAAAAAAAATATTAATTAAGATCAAATTAAATTTTGAAATTGTAATTTATGTAAATGATCTATTTATTTGTACCTAGACAATCCTCCGTAATCTAAACCATCTTCTCCCTCAAATTTAATCATTAAACGTTTTTTAAGTTCTTGTGGTTGTTGACGCATAATTTCCGAATAGGCATCTTCAAAAATAAAATTACGTCTAACTTTGATGTGACATTGCCCTGGAACAGGACGAAGTGCTGGTTGAGACCTGAAATAAATAAGTTTTCTACGGAAATCTCGCTTATATTGAGGCACATTTTGACTAATTTATTAAATAAAAATAATTTAGAATAAATATTGTATATGCGTGAATATATATTTGAGTTGTAGTAATCAAGACATACTCCAGACTACTAGGTAATCTCGGATCATCCCATGTTGTTGTTTTTGTATTATGATCTACAAAATATACCCTTGCTGTACTAGTTAAACGCATTTCCCATCCAGAAGGTAAAGGTCCAAGTTGAGATACTGGTTGTTGTTGAACTGTGACATTATTGGCATTTCCACCATACATCCGAATGAATTGTTGCCTACGAGGATCAACCCATGTTGTTGTTCTAGTATTATGATCTACAAAATAAGGTCTACCTTCTGGCGTTGCTCTTTGTTCTTTTGATTAATTATAATAAATAAACATAAATATACATCATTATAAATAATATTGGGCATTATTGATAAGAAACCATTTACATACCCCAACCAGGTGGTAATGGACCAAATCCAGCTGTTGTTGCGCCACTTACTGGTATTATACCATTCGTTGCTGGAGAACTTGTTGATGTTTCTGCATTAGAATTTGCAAGAGATGTAGATGATGAATTATTATTATTAGGTAATGGCGAAGAATTTGTTGGTAGCCTTTCCTCAGGAAGTGTACGATTGTTATGACGGCGGCGTTCTAATTCTGTTATATTTTGTTGCTCTTGTAATCTTTGAGTTGCAGTTGCATTCGTCGATGGTCTTACCCAAGTAGTTGTTCGAGTATTATGATCGACATAATAAGTACGTCCTAAATGATCAACGCGCCTTTCCCAGCTTTAATATTTTTGAAAAAAAAAAGTGATTAGAATTGAATCTTTAAAAGCAAAAAAAAAGTTGAAGAAATATAAACAATCGATTTAAAAACTTGACGAAATAATTTACCCAGGCGGCAAAGCTCCATATTGATCTTCAAATGATGAAAATGTCCTGTTTGTTGAGGAATGTCCAGATCCAGGACTTGGGCTTACAATAGCACCATTTTGAGTGACACCAGATGATGTTGAAGGTGTTGTAGTTGAAATACTCGTTGGCCGCGATGAGAGTTCAACATGACTACTATCTCGTTGATTTTGAGCTGCTGTTGTTGCTGATGATGACGATGACGATGATGATGATCCTGCAATTGATGAATTTCGGATATGGTTTGTTGAAGTCGTTAAATTTCCACTTACGCCTGGGTGATTCGCTGGTGTGTTGACATTTGTGGATATGCTGATAATTAATTTACCATGTACCACTTCGTTTGCATTTGATTTTTTTAATTCTTTTGTCAACATTTCTAAATTTAGATAATTAAAAAAAATTTAATATTTATAATTTCAAAAAAAAAGTGTTTTTTTTTACTAATAATAATAAATTTCTTAATCAAAAAGGGCACAAACCATCACCACCAGTATTAACATCAAACACATCACCAATTTGAACATTAATTACACCTAAAAAACCTTGATCTCTTTTTTTAAACTTTTTTTGATCGAAAATTTGAACCGCAACAACACTTTGACTTGTTACTTGTCTAAAAACATCATTAGTGAATAAAAATAATTTTAATATTAATAATAAAAAAATTTCTCAAAATAATAATCAAACAAAATTATATTACATGTCAAAGCTTTCATTCCAATAAGGATTCAAACATCTTTTTATTACAGAAGTAGTCTGTGTTTGTTCACCATCAACGGTAACAACTGCAAAAGGATCAGGTAACCCTATATAAAACACAAAAATTATATAGATTCAGTTTTAGATTGATTTTTATTAAAGTTGTATATTCAAAGTAAAGAACATACGAAAAACATCTCTTTTATATAGGCCATCTGCTGCGATAACTTTATTAAAGATTAAAAAAATAAAAAAATGTAAATCAATGAACTTTTCATCTTAGGAATTTTGTTAAAATTAGAATTAATCTTATATAGTACCTGTCAACCGTACAGTTCTCCTGTAATTTATTAAAGTATAAATGTTATGGTAGTTAAAAGTACACAAGTTTACAACCAAAAAAAAATTTTGAATGAATGATTTAAGTAATGGGAAGAAACATTGTGAAAAATTTGCAAGATTTTCATAAAATCTAATACTAACATTTCTTGATTTGTCATTTTTTTTTTGATAAAAAAAGCTCCTTATCTTCTCCCCTTTTTTTTCAAAAGGTCTAAATATGTATGGAAGTAAATTATTTAAAATAAAAACAACTAATTTTTTCAATTAATTTAGATTAATATATTGTTTATTTTATTTTATTTTTTATTTATTTATTTATTAAATTTTTTTTGAGGGAAAGAGGAAATAAAATAATTAAAAATAATCGGTGTGGCAAAACTAAAGGTTGGAAATCAAAACTGCGGAAAAATATATAAATAAATTTAAAAGTTACACGCAATAATATTTTTAATATTAAAATTAGTCTATGGAAATTGCGCATAACGTGTAACACTGTAAAATTTATCTTCATCAAAAAATGTTACTCTACAGACTGAAAGCATTGCTTTTGTTGACACTCACCTAAATTTTTATAGAACAAACAGAGGGAATAAAGTTGGTTAAGAGCTATTTGAAGGCTTGATTGACTTTACTTGAATTCCAATTTCAAATATCATTATTAAATATTAAGGAATAGAAACATAGAGAATAATAATAGTATTATTATTATTAATGCACATTATAACATTCAGAATTATTCACTTTCTCTTTTTAAATTTGGTAGGTGAAGTAAGATGCAATGTATAATTAATTATTTGCCCAAATCGTTTTGGAAAAAAGCAATTACAGCAATCATTCCAATATTCTTTATATGAATGAACGTAAAATAACTGTTATTTTAATTTATTCTAGATTAACAATTTTGGATATAACTATTACGGTTACTATGAAAAACTATTCGGAAACGATCATTTATTGAGGGTTAATTTCGGCCAACAACTATGATGCAAATTATTTATAAACAAGTTAAATAATAGTTAACTTGGAAATTAATCAAGCCTTTTTTCAATTGACTATTAATTTAAATTTTCTAGTATATTTGAATGATGAGGATATTTTTTTTTATACAGGTATATTGCATGTTAAAATAAAATGCATTCAGAGAAGAATTAATAAGAAAATAATTTTGAATTTTCTTACATTTATGAATAATTGAATTTAAAACATTATACTTTTTACGTGATCCTTTATTTTATCTCTTAATGCTCATCTAATATGTTTTGTCTAATATGTTTTCACTTGAAAAAACCTTCCATTACATCGTTACTTTATTGCAAAATCAGTTTTTTCCCACTCCCAGTTATTGAGCCTTAGCATTTTAAAAATTGGCTGGCTGACTCTGGCTATTGTCTTTAGATGATCTTCACCATACTATTTTGTGACACAACGGATCAAAAGATTTTTTAAATATTAATATGTTAGTTGAAACATCAAAGCTTTTGAATTCTATAATTATTAATTATACATTAAACGAAAATACAATTGAAAAATTTATTCCATTTATTCTTGAGACAATTTCACAGTATCAACTTTTAAAAAGTGATGATAACGTTGATAAAGAAAAGACGCTGATACTAAATAAGTGGTGTTTACGTGTAAATTCTTTATTAAATTCCAAAGTGATTGGTGCGAGATGGGCCGGAATTTGCTTTGTTAAATTATCGATTGAGCAATCTGAAGCTTTATTTGTTCAAAATCTACAAACATGGCTCACGAAACTTTTGAATTTTCTTAAGGTTAGTAAAGTAATTTTAGCAAAATTTGTTAACAATAATAACGATTATTTTTTATTTTTTATTGAATAGAGCAAAGAACCAAATTTTGTAATAATAGATGTCATTGATGCAATTTATAAGTTGATTGAGAAAACAATTAATAAATCAGAACTACAAAAAGAAATTACTTTCACATATTTACCTAAAGTCAATTCAATTTTATTAAATTTATCAGAAAATAAACAATTATTGGTAATTAATTTATTTTATATTTATTTATTTTATTTATCAAAAAAAAAATTTTTTTACTAACAATATAATATTAATGATAACACAAGCCAAACATTTTGTATTTTTTATCATTTTCAGCCAAAGGATTTCCAACAATTTTCAAACCATTTTTAGAAAATACTCAAAAATTATGCTTGAATAATTTATTAAATGATGATAATGGCTATGAATCTTTAATTGTCAAGTCTTCAATTAGTTGTTTATCAAATACAATGAATTCCAGTATTAAAAATAACAATTCAATGGAACACTGGAAATCACATATATTAAAAATCATTAAATCATTAAATCACATACTAAACAATTTATTCAAAAACATTGTAGAAGAAGGCAAGTACATAATAAATAAATAATGTTGTTAGTAAATACATGAAGATCCATTATATTAATTTTTTTAATTTATTAGATATAAAGTATAATTATTTAAGCGAAGAGCAACAAATATTTGAAATGTCAACTATTTCTGATGATTATATTACTAAATTTCCAATATTATTTTCAAGATTTCAATGTTTATCTGAATATTTGATATCAATATTAAGGTAGAGAGATTAATATTGTTTTTTATGCTATATGAAACTATTTTAATTATTTGATTGATCATTTGATTTATTATAGTGTGCCAACATTGTTTTCCATTCATATTCCAATAAATCAAATTCTTGATTTGATCTGCAGAACCTTTAATAATAATAATGAGTTAATTGTAAGAAATCAGTTATCAATTATTTGATTGACTAATTGATTTATTTATTTATTAATCTATGACTTTGCCATTATTATTATCATCAGGTTAATAATAAAGATAAAAATGAATATTTAACTTTAATCTTGGGAATAAACTCTCTATATTTTCACTCAATCAAAATTTTGTCAGCTTTAATTCTTGGTTGTGAAGAATATTTATTAAGAAATCTAAAATTAATATCAACTATAATAATAAAAGCTTTGAATCAATCAAAAAATCAATGGTAAATTAATTTATTTATTTATTTATTTTAATAATAATAAATTAAATTAAATTATTTTATTTTTTAGGTTACTTAAAAATTCTGTTTATAATTTATTATCAATATGTATACAGAAATATGGGATTGGATTTGTTAATACAGTGACAAAATCAAATTCATCAACTCTATTGTTTGATTATGTTATTGATGATATCAAAATATATCAAAACATTCAACTTAACAATAACAACAACAACAACAACAATAAATCAACAGTAAAAAATGTAATAAAAATTTTTTTAAATAATTATTTAAAATATTTATATTAATTGTTAATTTGATTAATTATTAATTTAAAAGATTGGAAACAAGAAAAAAAAACAGGATAACAATGATCATGATTTTAATCAATTGTATGACATCAACAAAAATAACTTTTCTACTGTTCAACAGAATATTGATTTGCAGATTTCTGCATTAAATGGTAAACAAAAAATTATCTTGCTTTCTTAATTTATATTTTCTAGAAATTTCCAATATTTATTTATTAATGTTTTGTATAGTATTGAAAATATTATTAACAACTTGTGGCAATTTGGCACCTGTGAATTATCGAGTTACAATTGATAACATTTTAATATATAGAATTATTGCTGATATTAATCAATTAGAAAAATCTAATAATAATATAGGAGAAAATAATCTCACACTAAAATTATATGAATGTTTATTAGCTTCAATAATATCACCTTCACAATTTCAATCAACAATACTCCCACAAGCAATAAATCTATTCAATTCTGGATTAAATTTAAAATCATATCAGGTAAATCTAATTACCACTTTTACTAATAATATCATATAGATAAATGATCAATAATCTATTTTCCATTATTATCATTATTAGTTGCAATCGTTCTGTTCTCAATCTCTAATGATATGTGATCTCATGGTTCACAGTCGTCTACCACCACTTGAACATCATTTACAAACAAAATCTTCAATACACCAAATTACTTTTATGAACATTGATGATGTTGTTGATACTATTGATGATGATAATAAATTAAAATCATTGTCATTTACTGATAATAATAATATTATTTCTGAGAGTCTTAATAAGAGACCACACTCAATAGATGATGATTTTGAAATAAATCAAGATGAGAATGCACAAGTTTTTAAATCTCAAAGAATGAGTGAAAATATTAATGATGATGATGATTTTGAAATGCCAGAAATCATTCTTGAAGGCCCAGATTCAGACTAATCTAATTTATCTGAATTATAATAAAAGGGCTTTATTAGATATGTTATTTGTTTTATTATATTAGATATCAATAAATAATTTAAAATATAATTTATGTGAAATCATACAAAATATTGATAGTATTGATTGCATGTGTTTATTTTACAACATAGAGAATATTCCTGATGATACCTATATTTAATTGTGTAGCAAATGTATTTGATGAAAAAATATATGAAAATATTATATATGAAATTTTATATAATAATATTCAATTGTTCACAGTAAGGAAATTCAAATTTACCTTCTCAATAATTTATATATATTCATTCATTAACAACCCTATTTATTATAGATGCGGGAAAACTCATTACTTCCAATAATTCATTATTATTATATTTAAATCTATTTTTTTATATCATTTATTAATTCTATTTATTATAGTTTTGATAACATTAGAGCCTGCCATGCCTGCCATGAATTTATAATAATTATGATGTATGTATGATTTAATTAATACCTGTTATATATATTTGAACCATTAATTATATGTTATATATTAATTCAAAAAATGGCATCCTCAACATTGTTGGATAAGCATACATAGTGTAATTTTGAAAGTATATAATAACAAAGTTGCCAAATTTTTCTATAGTTGGCTCGGTCTAAAGACCTCCTAAGTTTTGCATAAATTTTAAAAGTATAGAAGTCACTTTCTGTCCTATCT